AAATGTAAACACACAAAAACAGACACACACACACACACCACACACACAAACACAGCGTAGAGATGCAAATGTGGAGATTTTACGCAATCTGTTGAATTTATTGGTGGAGGCGCGTTTGCACTCGTATTGAACAGCAACAAAAACAATAATAACAAAAGCGCATAAAATGGCGAAATGCAATATGAAATGTTGTGCTCCACATTAATCGCGAATATCGCACTTCTTTTTTAAGTGTTGACGTACAAATTAATATTATCGCTTAATTAACACTGAGCGACACTCAAACAACCAGACAGACAAGCACACACACACACGCACACACATATTGGGAACAGACAGAACAGAATGCAGATGCAGAAAGTGCGAGCGGGATAGACTGTGTGATAAATTTTTGCATATGTCGCTGCGTTTGATTGCCTGCTTTATTTGGCATGGATGGAGGCTGGGGCCAGTGTTGCCATTTCTTAAGTGGCTGAGGAAGTAATTAAAAAAGCCAGCAATTGTTATATTTTCCGAAAGAAAGTAAATTATAATTACGAAAACTGTACCGTTTTATTAATGCAAGTGCTTCGGTTTTTTTTCCCAGCATGTACAAGGTCGACCTCAAACACTGCAATATATAAATAATATTCCCCCACCGGGTAGGAGGCGTTGATCAGATATTATTGTAATTTAATTAGATTTCTCCTTCTTAGCTTTTTTTAGCTCATAAGATGCTTTTTATAATTTTTATATATTTCCTATGTCGACAGTCAATGTTTGTTGACATAAATAAATAAATAATGTTCTTTTGAAACCATATCTTCGGTCTCATGTCAGCTCGGACTATAAAATGCACATTATATTACACGTTACATATTTTTTTTACGACCTATACGATGAAAATTCTATCGGCCACAATATAATCCGCAATTTGAAAATCTCTAAAACTGGTGGTAAAATAGCCAAATTGGCAACGCTATATATGGCAGTTGCAGAATGTTGTACAAGAAATTACGTGCGTGATAGAGCGGGAGAGAGACAGTGAGAGAGCGAGAGTCGCCATATTGCAATAAATAAACTGCAGCTCCACGCAATGTGTGAGCGGCTCATTAGCTGCGCCAAAATGCAGCAAAATGAAACATTTTTAGATGACCATGTAAGTTGTATGTAAGTGTGTGTGTGTATGTGTGTGAGTGTATGGGTGCATGGACCACGTTGCGCATCTCTAGGCTTATCTGCGTGCATTAATCGCGCCCGTTTGCGTGCCCGCTCGCTGCCGGCTTTGGTTTAGAATTTCGCTGCGCTTTTTTGCCGCCGCATTATGCGTGTAAATCGCGATAACAGCGATTTTTGGCATCAGCCAAAAGGATTTTTGGGAACTCGCCATTTCTTTTGTTTTATATGCAGGCCCAGCAATCGACCGACCGACCGACCGACCACCAACCCGACCACCCTCCTCTGATCGTCTGAAATATGAGCGCAAATGAAGCCAACGGTATAGCAATTGAGTCGTCGTCCGCTGTTTGCTCAGATTGCAACGAACGTTGTTGTCGGCTATCTGATCGGATGTAATTATGATTATGACGATGATTTGCTACATTTGCCTGCCTCCGTGTGTTGGCCAAAGGGCTGAGGGCGCGCGGACGCCGATAAAATCGCATGCGGCTGCAACGGCCACTGCCACTGCCAATTGCAAGGATAAGGGTAAGGGTACTTTGCGGGCGGCGGTGAGGCACGTGGCACAATTGTTCTGTTCGAGTTGCATTTGTACCGAAAGGTGGCAGGCATTGTTTCAATGCTCAATTCAAGTTTTCTTTTTAATCGCAAGCGCTCAAATATCACAGACTATTCCAGCAACCCTCTGAGCACCCCGTTTACCTGTTACGCCAGCTTTTTGTGCCCCAGATAACAGCGGGAACTGCATACCGCCGGCCACGCGTATGCAAAACACTCTCCTCATCATATTGTGGACAGTAGTATGTGACAGTTTTAATTCTGGCTCAACCCAACTAATCCCATCATTCGATTGCTCTTTTCGCTGTTTCTCATGTTCAAGAACGGCAGTACGGAATCGTTTTTAAATACAAGTACGTTTGTCAATTGATGTTGGGAACGGGAAAGATAAAGTTGTTTGAGTTCAGGATTCAAAGTGATTACCGACAATTTTTGTAGGGTGGAGTATATACTTAGTTGAAGGATTTTTGTCAGCTATACAAGAAGGACTCTGCCATAACAGGTTAGAACTATAATGTACAATTTTTCTTTTCTCCTAGTCTCTCTACGGGCTTTGGGTTTGTATGAAGAAAACACAAATTGTTGTTGTTGCATACTTTAAGAAGAACTTCAATGGAATTTCGATATTTCAATAATTTTTTCGATTTAAAAATTCAAGCATTTAAAATAAAATTGGCAAATTATTGAAAAAGTTTCATTGAACAATTGGCAGATCCTCCTAGGAAGGAAAGGGCGTTTAATAGGCTGCATTAAGCTCATTATTAGACTTGCACAAAACAGATTTTAGAAACAAAAAAAAAAAAAAAAAAAAAACACGTTACACGGTTTTGATTTAACACGGCTTGAAAATTAAAAATTTTGTATATAGTTGCACGATATTATTCCATTTAGTACGATTCAAAAACCAAATGTCTTTCTTTACACGGTTTTTTTGCGACTTTTTCTGGAACCAATCTACAATTAGGTGTATAAAAATGCTGCTATAATACTGGACTTATTGGAAATCATTGTAAGATTTACACTAGGAATGAAATTGTTTTTAAATTTCAGGTAGTCTCTAAAATGCCAGTTTAACAATTGTTCATCCGAATCATCAAAAAAAATTGGCTTCTGATATTTGCCTGCTTGCCTCTGTGATGTGAGAGAATTTTGGATAGGACAAATAATTAATGGGATCGACGTTTTTGATCTGAGCGTAACAAACAAACGAACAAAAAAAATAGAAACCATAGCCGTCGAGCATTAATAACAAATGGGTAATACCCCTTTAAAGCTCTCAATGCGATTTCCAGCTAGGCCTTATCGCATTTTTTATTTGCTGCCAGATACTATTTGAACGATTTAATTTCTGTCGCACAAAAAGTGCTCACGTAATGGATTTCCGACATTGGTGACCGATTCGGCAACGATTCGGCAACGCATTGGACTGCCATTTGGGGCAGTGTGGGTGCTGGTGTCGATAATTTGTGGACAAATTTATTGCACGCCCGCTCAAAAAAAGGAGAAGGAAAAACGCCCAAAACGAGCAAAAATAATGGAAGACGAAGAAAGCACGAGTAAACGTCTATAAAAATTTGTCACTCGAGAAATTAATTGCCCTTGAAAAAGCAATGGAATCGGCAGCAGCAGCAACAGCAGCACGCATTAGGCCGCCGAAGGGGGGTTCACACAAAGGTGACATATGGTGCTCTTGCTACCCCATCCAGTTGCCGGTGGCTGGCCAGTTCCTGCCACTGCATTGCTGGTGAATGCATTGGCCCAAGGCCCAGAGCGAAAGGATGAACACACACATCACACACACATCACCCACAACAAAGCGCATTAACAATGTTCAATTGGATTGGCACTGGTCACACCCCTTTCGGAGGCGCGACTGCCTGCGCGCCATGTGAATGACTGCTCGTCCTGGCGACCCGCCTTGCCGTCCTGCCGTCCTGCTGTCTCGCCCGCCTCGACTAGCCAGCCGTGGACTGGGCTGGTCCGACTTCGACCGTTTGACGACTCAATTTATTGGCACTGCGACGACTGTTCGCTGCGTGTTGGGCGCACAGGACACACTTAATTAGCCGTGACAATCAATTTCGAATGCAACTTATGTTCGAATCAGCAAATCGAATTTTTACAAAGACTCGACCTAGCGAAAAAAATATAAAAAAAAAAATAAACAAATAGAGAAGAGAGAACTAGGCATTAGTTCAGAGTTCGGAGCAAACGAGCTGGAAGGAATTATTTGCCGATTGCGTGAAAAGGTGAAAGAGTCCTTTGTATTTTGCACTGATGAGTCGAAATGTGAAGCGTTGCTGCGTTCCCTTGGGTGCTCTGGTTATGTTTACAAATTGAAATTGATCCCCATTGACAAATAATCAGTACGATTATATTTTAAGGTCATACGAGTATGCTCGCTAAGAGCAACCAAATAACAGATTTAGTTGCTACGAATATTAGATCTTATTCCATGTGAAGCGCTTTAGGAAAGACCAGGTCTAGTCGTTCTTACTCCGTTTGAGAAATTGAAAAGCTGAACTCTTAGCCATGTCGAACCATCAGAATACAATTTCACATCGCAGTAGGGAGAGGCTTTGTTTTCTTCACTTTCAAGAAAATATTATTAATAATTCAACAGGAATATATGAAAAATAAAGTAGCTTAGGTCCTTAACAAATCTATTTAATTGTCAAGTTTATTTAACCAATTTAATGGACAGTTTTAAATAAAAACACTCTGCTAATACAAAAAATCTATTTAATACAAATATGGATTGGTTTAAATTTAAAAGAAGACCAAATGGGGTTTCTACAAGCGTTTTAGAATTGTGAAAAGTTACATTGATAAAAAATTGTTGTTTTTGAAGAAAATAAAAATTGAAATATATTCCAAGCTATGGTAAATATTTGCTGGCATGAAAGAAATTTCTTAAGACAAGTTTCTTATTCTTAATAAAGCAATATTTTCTCTGAGCACTAAATTTTTAAAATTGTTTTATTAAGGACATTGTATTGTGAATGAAAGAACTGAAATTTGTGAATAGTGAAAATTTTTAAATATCAGTTCCAGGGGCCTAAAAGTTAACTCCAATATTTCAATATTTCATACTTTAATAGAGAATAGCCTAAAACAGTTCTTTCTCTTTTAGAGCAAACAATTTCTATTTCGATTCTCGAATTAAAAACGTGCTAAGGCGACAATTGTAATGTGACACTAAATGTTTTAAATAGAAATAATAGATGCTTGGGCGCAACTGAAGTAAATGTTGGTAGAAGTTTTAAGCTTTAGTTGAGTCTTACCTGCTTTGTCACCGAATCGATTAATCTCACAAATATGTCCTGCTCCTGTCGCGCTCCTGAAAGAAATGTAGATTACCAATTTATGCGTTAAATGTTGCTCGTTGTGGGACAAGAAATAGATCTAGCACTACTTACCATTTGCGTAGAGCAACTGCAATCGATACTGAATGCCATTATTGGTCTTTGTGGCATCCGTCTCAGAGTCCTTCTCAATGAAACCAATAAAGGCCGTGCGCTCGATCTCGATGGGCTGGCCGGCACGATCGTAGAGCGCAATCACGAAGTGGAAAAAGTTCGATTTGCGTAAATTACTGGGCGGCTGTTTCTCAAAGTGGGCGCGCCCGATGCCGAGGCTGCAATTAGGAAACGCAAAAGCAAAAAACTGGATGAGTACGTTGGGTATAATTATGCCATTACGAGTGTAAACAGACATATAAGGCTGCTAATTAGTTGGGCCCGGATAGGACCGGACCGGACAGGTCCAGCCAACTAATATGCCACAATGTTTTTGACAACTCAATTACTTGAGTGACATTTAACTAGTGGTCGGCTGACAAAGGAGCAAAGGCGCTGTGACAACTATCATTAAAACCGCATAAGCAACTTCACCCTCACCCTCACCCTCGCCCCGACCCTCGAGCCCCACTCGGATGACAGTATGACACAATAATCCTGACGAATAAAAGGAATTAACACACAAGTCCGGCCACGGCTGCAGGGAGGAAGCAGAGGAAGCAAAAGAAACAGGAACAAGGAGCCGACTCAGCTCTAGACTTGGACAACAGACGAAAAATGTATGTTATGTGGGCCAAGCAAACACGGTAATTATAAGGCTACCAGCAGACATACTATATTTGTATATATGTATATATGGGGATTGTGAATGTTCGCTGCAAGGACACAAGGTTTGTGCAGGAGTCGTCAGCAAAGGCTTGTCGCCGCATATGCCAAATGTCAACACTCGCGGGCTGCTCACCTCAGGTCTGGCATGTCAGCGCAATTACCGGACAATGCTAACTATCCTGCACACATACACATACAACCAGATACCACACACCACACACCACACTCACCCACTACCAGAAGGACTCGAACACTCACACTAACACTACAGCGAGCCCTTAGCCAGGGGCTAAGTTCGAGCACTCCGCGTTCCGTTCCGTATGCATAACGAACAATTTAATTTAGAAAATGCTGATTTTATCAGATTTGTATTATTTATTCAGGATATGTCAAGAAGTATCACTACTACCTGGTGGTGTAATGCCGGAGGCATGGTTCGCTGCGGCTCTGGGCGCAATTATATACACATTTGCCAAAGTACGAGTACGAGCGCGCATACGTGTCCCGGTAATGATAGACCCAGTGATAAATCGCTCGAAAACTATCCCTTTGTAAGCAGTTGGAAAGGTTCATGAATTTGTATTGCAAGCATCATTGAGTTTATTTATTGGGCAGTGCTGCGAGAAGCTTGTATTCTGAGTCAGAAATTCAGAATTTTAAACTCATAAGAGTTGATTTAATTGACGCACTAAGAGGAAATTGGCAGTGCTTGAATCTTGTATTCTACTTATTATCTATTCAATAAAAGAATTTTTAATTAGTTTTAATTAGTTATACCACCACCATTTTATAGATCATCATACAGAAAATCTATTTACTTGTACTTGGAGACTTTCATTTAGTCAGAATTTTAAAATTTTGAAATCATAGAGTTGATTAAATTGACAGACTAAGAGGAAATCTAATCTAATAAAAGAATGTTTAATTACTTGGGCATCTTTAATCAATTATTTTAGAGATCCTACTCAAAATCCATTTACAGCTCTTGTATTTGGAGAAATTTATTTAGTCAGAATTTCGGAATTTTGAAATTATAGAGTTGATTTAATTGACACACTAAGAGGAATTTGGCAATGCTTGAAGCTATTATTCTACGTATTAATCTATTCAATAAACATTTTATAATTAGTTGGGCATCTTGAATCAATAATTTTGGCGATCATCGTCAAAATCCATTTACAGCTCTTGTACTTGGAGAAATCCATTTAGAAACCCTGTTGTTAAAAAGGCTTGTCTACTCATGATGCATAATGGATTATCTATTATAGCTATACTCCTTTTCATTGCTTATATTCTTCTTTTTTAAACTCGACTGAGATTAAGCTTGTTCGGTCAAATTATTCGAAATCCAAGAAGGTTTATATTTCCAAACTTGTGCCAACTCAGGTGAGCACAAATAAAAGCTGTCCTTTGGTTGGGATGGAAAAATTGTTATTGGTTTTTTTTTTATTCTGTCATTAATAATTTTGAATTTTGCTTAACTAAACTCCATCTCCTTACAAGCCACCAAAGTTGTTTGCTAAACGCACTTAATTAATTGATATTAAGAATCTAAAGTGAAGCTACAACTCTTTCCTCCAAAAACCAGTGCCCTAGGAGTTGCCAGAGGAATCGTTACCAACAGTCGATGCGAGCTTCAAGGATTTGAATGCGCAGCTCCCCAAATTGTTGACCCCCAATTGAAGCTAAGTTAGCTTCTGGTGTGAAACTGCGACTCATTCCACAAGATGATTTGGCGGATTTTAAAATGGGGAAAGTTAAGGACGACTAAGGTTTCCGGGCGCAAGAAATTTGAACTACCCAACTACTATATTTCAGTTGAAACTGATGAAACATTTTTTGTCCTTTGTTGGTCATCTTATAAAGCCGTCACTAGTTACTTTTTGAACCGCAAAGCTTAATTGTTAAGCGGAATTGTGAATATATTTACGAGCATCGTTTCCGCACACAATAACAGTTCTGTATCAAATGGGAAAATGGATTCTAGAGATATCTTTAGGGAGTCTATTGTATATTCGAGAGTCTAGTTGAGAGTCTATTTGAGAGTCTATTTGAGAGTCTATTAGATATTCTATTCCAGAGTCTATTTGAGATTCTATTTGAGAATCTACTTGTATTTGGAAGTCTATTTGAGAGTCTATTTGAGAGTCTATTCGAGAGTCTATTAGATATTCTATTCCAGAGTCTATTTGAGATTCTATTTGAGAATCTATTTGGAAGTCTATTTGAGAGTTTACTTGAGAGTACTTCTGCTTGTTTGCCTATCTGTTATTTTGTTGTTATTAAGACTGAACACCTAGTTAAAGTTGTATTTGTATTTAACTATAAGTTTAATTTAAGTTATAAATGTAACAGTATAATTTAAAAAAAAGAAGTTATTTTGTTGTTGATTTTGAACTGGTTTTATTCGCTAAATTACTAAAAAGTGATGTGCATCTATCCTTTAATGTTGATTAGAGCAATGCATATTTTTCCGAACATAAAAATAAGTGAGTGGTAAAATATAAAAATCCATAATTACAAAACATAAAGACATGTATTGGAATAACACTGCGACATTAAGAGAAACAAGAGCCGACAATTTGTGGCCACACACACATAAAGATCAAGCTATAAGTGTTGCAAGAATATATATGTGTCTATGCTCGCATATAGGCAGTGGGAGGAGGACTTTTTGCGCGACTGTTCGATGCGATTCAAATGGCGGGAATGGCAACACAATGTTGGAGCAATACGACACATAAATGCCAGACATGTTACAATTCGGTGAAAGGTTATTGTTATGGCAACATTCAAAAGTGAACAGCAAAATAATATAAGCCGAAGCTGGCAAATAAAAAACTGCGCCTCAACTGACTCTGACGCCTGTCGCCTGTCGCGTCCGACTGACTACCTCGCCAGAGTCAGATTGCCAGAGTCGGGGCTGTGCGAGCATGTAGGTGGAGGTGGAGGTGGAGATGGAGGTGGAGGAGCTGCCGAGCCCCCTCCTAAGCTTGTGCCTCGATTGTTGACTGTTCGAGTTCGCTGTGTGTTTGCGAGTGTTTTGTGTGTGTGTGTTGGATTTTTGTTGAGCCGTTCCCTGGTTTCGCAGTTGACTTGTTTGCACTTGCCGCCAATTTGCGAAAAACGTTTTGTGGCCGTTTTGCTGTTGATTTTATTATGCCAACATTTAATTGCTGGAAATCGATGCCCAGGTGACCGGGCGGGTGCTCGGCGTGGTCACGTTTTCTCTATTCCCGTGCACGTGCATTTTGCACACGCCACCACCCCCTCCCCCTCCCCTCCCCCTCCCCCTGCTCAGCCCCATTCAAGTGCTCCAATTGTCCTTTAAAAAGGACAGTTTATTTGAAGCGTTTATTGTGCACTTCTTTTTGTTGTTCATTTTATGGCCATTGTTGCATTGTCTTTGGCTTGTGGTCGCCCGATTCACGGAGAATCGAGATTGTTGTGTGCATCGACAATCTTTGTTGAAATAAATTTCAAATATTCTTGATTTATGTTTGAAATTGTTGCTCGCCTGCATTTGCTGCATTTTGTTATTTTGCCATTTTGTGTGTCACATTGCGATAAATAAATGGGCACAAGTATTGAACGTGTCGATTATTCTGCAATTTATGCCGGCGTGGTAAGGGAAAGTTTTTGTTGCGCTGGCAAGGATAAGTAAGGATTGCATTTACAAGTTGGCAACATAAATTATAAGTTAAATGCAATATTGTGCTGTGATAAAAACGAATTGCAAATAAATAATGACAACTGAACAAATTTATGCAAGAAGTGATTGTGTGTTTCAATGTTTTTCTTTTTCTAATTACCAAATGAATAACGAAAACGATTTAATTTATAAAAGCAATGTTGGCAATAATTTGTATATATTTTTGATTGGCACGGAAACGTTTCTTTTATATTATAAAATTAATTGCAAATAGTTAGAATGTACTTGGGACAATTTGAATTTATTTGAAAAACTGTGCCAACATTTTTGAATGCATCTTAAATACAAAAATTTTGCCAGCTCAGGCAATTTTTAAACTTTCTTTTTAATATTAAAAACATTTAATTGAAGCACGACATTTTTTGCCAAAAAATTTTAATGCAATATTTTATTCCATTTTGTTTGTCATTATAAAAGTTGTTTTAACTTCAATTTTATATTAATTCTTGAATACTTGTACTACGTTCCATCACGCCAAATGAAATCAAAATATGTATTTAGAAGTTTTGCATTTATTTTTGAAAATGGAGCCATAGTTTTGAAAATATAAAAACCTATATGCATTTTTCTTCATATTTGGAAACAAAGAAATCGTAGCTTTGAGTGCAAAAAATTTATTTGAACTTTCTTCCTGTAACAGTAAAATATGTAAATATTTTGTAAGTAAAAATAGGAAATGAATGTAGTCTTCATTGAAATCAGGCCAAATGGAATCTTTACAAATGAAATGCTGGCACCACTTCATAAGTAAGGGAAACAAGTTTTCAAATCAATCCGTAAGCTTGACATTTTAAATACTTAATATTACAAAATACGCCCCATTTTAGATAACTTTTTCCCTATAAGATAGCTAAATAGAAATACCTTTCACAGCGCATATTTTTGGTATTTAAATTGGTCTGTCTTTGATTGTGATTGTGATCCTGCTGTAGATTGTCCTGCTGGCTTAGGTGCTGATTGTGTGGCTGATGATGGTGATGACTATCGGATGGGTTTAGCTGCAGATGCTGGTGTTGTTGATTTGCCGTCGCTGAATGCAAAAATCCCGCAGTCATCTTTACAAACACAGTCGCTGCCGTACTTTCGATTTCGATTTCAGTTTCGCCAACTCGCGCACTCCTTCTGGGCGCGAACATCTCACGCTAGAAACATCTCAAAGTCAACTAAACAAACAGGCAAGAAGCTTTCCGCGAGAGGTCCTGGCCAGCACCAACCCCCAATGCCGCCACCAAGCGAGTGGGGCGCTCTTTTTCTAATTCAATTGAAATGAACGCACCAAGGCGAAAGTAAAAGTAAAGAAATAACCAAAAAACATCCCTTTGAGCACAAAGCCCAACACCCGCAGACAAAAGCGCAAGTTCAAGTCAAGGCAGAGACTGCCAGTCCGTCGCACATCCTGGCGAGTATCCTAGCACAGTTGCCGCAGACATTCGCATCAGAAGTCAACCCCAAAAGTGCGTGCTTCGCTCCCATCCCGCCCCAAGAACGTCTCGCAAAAATGCGTGAGTGTTTGAGTGAAAATTTGAGTGAGCTTGGGCCGTCGAGTTCATCCGCATGATGGAGTTCGTTTTGTTCCTGAGTTGTGGGGATGCGTGGGTGCGTGGCGCTGGGGAGGCGCAGGCGTCCGGTCGCCCATAAAAAGCCCCGGCTGACTAACTGACTACGTTTGCGAATTACTCGCCCCCAGGGCATTCGTATTGGACATGCCGGCTTTGGTAAAAGTAAACAAACGCTTTTTTGGAGAGTTTTTGTTTGGGTTTTGGCCTAACATTTGTTGCCGCAACATTTGCAAGGTTGCCGAGGCCTTTAAAATGTTGCCACCATTTCAGGGGGTCAGGACACATGTAAGTCCTTCAGTCACTCTATTTGAAATTGTTAGAGAAGCGACAATTTAAGCGATGACTTTGCAGCCCAAACAAGGAAACAAACAACTATTTTTTAATTTCATTTAGAAAAGTTAAAATATTTTCTAAGGTACCCATAGTGTGCAGATAATATAAAAATAAATATTCATCAAATTAGCTATATCAGTGTAAGCGGAAGCTGATGGAATTGAAAATTAAAGCTAATAATTCAAATAAGCAATAAATTCTGGAGAACCTCAGTTAGTTAATAGACAGAAGTACTATTTGAATATGTATCTGAATTCTGCACTTTCCTATAAATATATAATAGAAAACATTTTTTATGTTGATCCTTGAAATAAATTGCAATCCTTGGACCATCCTTTTTTATAAGATATAAAAACTATTTGAAGATTGGTCTGAATTCGGCACTTTCTTATAAATATATGTATATTAAAACCATTTTTAAAGTTTACCTTTGAAATAAATTGCAGTCCTTCGACGAATCTTTGAAAATAATCCTTCACTAATTTATTATACATGTATAGTTTTGGAAATCATACTAACTTGATCGTTTAATAATTTTTCAATACTTCGCACATAAGCTCCTAATTATTCTACTTTTTCTTAAAAATAAAAATCTATGAAGATTTCATAAGTAGAATTAATTCGTAATTATCATGAAATAAACTAAGTGGCAAAAGGAGTGGAGCTGTGCATGCATTAAAGCGATTCTTCTTCAGGGCATTCAAGGAATTTCGGAGACCAATCGGTCATTACGGTAAAAATAAGATTTTTCTGAATAATCCAGAAGTTGAGTTTCCATTATTAAGACAATTTTTCAAAACCTTCAAAGAGCTTCTTTAAATAGTTAATTGTGAATGATGAGAAGATTTAGCAGACTGCGGTCAAACATGCAAATAATTTGCAGACAAATTTGTGTTATTTTACAAAGCAGTTATTGTATGGGAGAAACCCAAAATTTAGAAGATACTTAAAATCACTTTTGCACGGGGCACAAACACTTCTGAGCATTGCAACCAGCACTTATTTATTTACTTCACCTCACTCCGATAATTGATTTGAAGGAACTTACTTGGACTGATCGACGACAGGCTGCATCCAGGCACGCGCACCCAAGGGCTCCTCCTTTAGAGATGTCATGGGCCCGCGCGGCTGATTCATGTCCGCGGCCGTGGGTGGAAGAGAAAACATCAGACCTCCTGCGGATCGCGGCCCAGCGGAGGGATACAGTTTTCGACCCCATTCCAGCTCCAGAGTGGGCCACGGCGAGGCCGAGCTGAAGCCCGGCACCGGCTCGTCGGAACGCAGCTTGAAGCTTTCTGCGCTGGTCAAGGGCGCTGTGTTAGCGAAGTGATGATGCTGGTGGAGATCAGCGTACGGGTATTCGCTCACTTTTGTATAGTTGCTTGTGGCCGGCGTTGTTGCTGTTATCGCCGACGTTGTGGCTATTTTGTTTGTCGCAATAACTGCGTCTATATCCTGTGTATGGCAATCTTTTGTTCACTTCAAGCACTGTCTCACTTAAATTAGCACAATATTTGTGTTATGTGTTTTGTTTGTCTGTCTAACTGCAAGTCTGCCTGTATGTCTGAGCGATCGAATCTCTTGAGGCTCACAGAGATAAACACAAGCAACCCTTTATACCGTGGGTGTGGGCTGTTATGGGCTGTCACAGAGGGATCTTGAATGGCACGGGACCGACACGACAACCGACACAAACAAATCCAACATCAAATCGATGAGCAATGGATGCCTAATTGGGGCCCGTTAACGGCGACTCAGAGGTTGTTTGTGGCTGACGGTATCTGGTGTATTTGTGCCAATGTACCGCAGAGAATTTGGGATTTTCGGAAAATTGGTATTGGTCTCGCAACAAGTTTAAGCGGCGCGCGCGCTACCGTCCCGAGTGGCTGTTAAACCCCAACTGAATCCCGCAGTGCGATGCTGCTGTGTGCACGAGAATCCGAACGAACGAACAGCAACTGCGCAACCACTTTGACGCAGACCTCAGGCGTCAGCGTTAGCGGCAGCAACAGTAACAGCAACAGCAACGACAACGACAACGACGGCGACAACGACCAACGAGAATTGATGTGCGCGGCCCAGGCGCAACAGAGTTGGAATTGAAACGAGTAAACCAGCAGCTTGCTAGACTGTGCCACAGGAACGCAAGTCCTTGCCGTGTCGTTGCCTCAATGGTGAGGGGTGGGCGCGCACAACAATAAGACATAACGGCGCAATGGACGAATGGAAATCTAACCTATCGCTGGGAGTGGTGGTTTTTCCCACACGCACACACACACACACACACACACTAACAGCAACAGCAACACCAACACACGCAAACGCCAAAAGGGAAACATATGCGCGTCCACTGAGAGAACTGTCAGCAACCATCCACCGATAGTCGTCTCTGCTGCCTGAGAGCCACACCAGCCAGCAGCAGGTTACGTTTATCGAGGATGTGGGCGAGACAGAGAGAGAGAGAGCGAGAACGCTTCGAAGACAGAGCGAGAGAACCAGCACTGCATTCGCTTGCTCATGCGAAGAAACTGAAAGGGACTCGCATGTGTAGGGAAAACGCGCGGGACTAGGACGCCCCAACGTGTTATGGGACTTAGGAACATTGTGAATTGGCACAGGCGCCATGGGGGCCTATGTCGAAAATGGAGCGGAGCGGAGCGGCCAAGTACTTGTTATTGGATTGCTTGGTCGGGGGGCGGTGGCAACACGCTATTGTTTCAGATAAACTCGCCGTGACTAGTGTTGTGCCCAGCGGATTGTCTCTGCATATTTATTCCCAACTAGCTACTGCTTTGGGGCCTGTGGGAGGCAGCGTAGGCCCCCGTGGCAGCAACAATTGCACTGTTAGCCACCTTCAATTGCTACCAAAGTGTCAACGCCTTCCCACCGCTCGCAACCAAAGCCATATGGGACTTAAAACAAAATGTCATTCTGTGCTGTACGCTGATTGGTCGAGACATTGCTGGCATGGGTCAACATACATATGTTGAAGAGAGCCAAAGCAGAGCGTGCGCGTCTCTTATCCAATTGTCGGCAAAGCAGTGCATTTTGTAGTGAAACGAATGACACTTGTGGAACAGAAATGCTTTAATTGCCAGCAGATGGGTTCGTTACTAAAATACAGTTTTTAAAATATCTTTGGGCTGGAAAAAGTTTCACAAACAATTTGAAATAGTTTTCGAATACTGCAACTTACAAATATATTTAGTAACATGTTATTTTTATAAGAGTAATTGTTAGATATAATGTTGCAAGGGACATTTTGGAATGCATTTATTTCGTGTTCACTGTTAAGAGAAGAAAGTTTCGCGCTCTTAAACAAGCAGATGGTTGCAAAGTTTATATAAAACGGTAAATCCAAAAAAATATCAGTAAAATAATAGTTTTAGTGCATTTTTTATCCAACAAATATTTTATAAATAACGATTACAGTGATTTGAAATATACCCTATTTTTGTATATAAAAGGTTTTTAAATATGAGTATAAAGTAAACGGTCTTGTTTATCTCCGAAAATACTAGTAACTGGATAAAACCTATATCTGATTTTTTTTGTCCGTTTTCCTGTGTTTTGTTTTGAACCTAATTCTATTTTTTTGGTTCCAGAAACAACCGCGTAAAAAAAGGCATTGATTATATGGAAAAATAGGTGATTGGTTCCTTATCTCTAAAGAAATATATATTAAATTTTTAATTTTCAAACCGTGTTATATGAAAATCGTGTAAAAAAAACGTGTAAAAACAAAATTAGGTGTAATCTACATTGGAAAAGTAACACTTTGGATTAAATATATGTACGTGTATGTAATTCGAGTTTTTTTTATTTAAAAAAAAGAAAGGATGTGATAAAAAATATTGTCCCTTGAGTTTGTCAGAGCAATCATTCCTAGCATCTAAGCTTTTAATTTAACTAAAATACAATTTTCGAAATATTTAAGTGACCTCCCTTACATTTTTTTTAAACTAAAAATCGACTACATTTTTGGGAAACAATTTTATGTATTACATTATTTATTTTCTTGTATGCAAAGACTGAAGTTAAAAATCGAGGATTTGATAAATAAAAGAGATTGTTATGCCATTGGTAGACATTATCTCTTAATTTTGTGTTGGCATACGTTGTGCATTAAAACAATGGCTGCACTTCTTTAAACAACGAAAATC